TCTCAGATTTACCATTTTGTATTTTTCGTCGAGCTCACCACATTTTTAATGATGTGTCGGCACACACACTCTCACTCCTTTAACGTAACAATTTACTTTTAATTCAAGTAGTCAGTCAGGCGGCTTAATTATCCCAGAGGCGGTACACTGGAGGCCAATATAATTCTCGCTGACATTTTAACGGACCCCTCAACCGATTTATTGGCCATGCAATTATGCATAAATCGCTGCCTCTGACATTTCAATAATTTTTAACTGTTATTACTTTGCCATTTATAATACCCGGAGTGATCTGAACATGTGCAAGTATGTATAATTTATTTAATTTCACATATATTTAACCACACTTGAGAGCCACAAGTGTCTGGGTGGGTTAAAGTGCTGCTATCAGTTCCATTAGTCTTGTTAATCAGATAGCATTTATATGAGCTAAAATGCATGTGGACGTGACATGGCTCTTCTGCTCTTTGTTTCTGTTTTTTTGTAATATTTTTTAAGCTTTGTAGGGTACTTAAAAGCACGTAGTTTTCAAACATAATAGATAAAAAGTTGTACAAAAAAATAATAAATAAATATTCTATCAAATATATTTCCTATAACCTAAGCCCGTATTTATTTTAAATAATGAATAAAGATTTGTTCAGCCATACTTCATGAACTTAATCCTTGGAAATTTCTCAATTATATTTATTCTCCGACCCGCATTTAGCACAACTTCACCGCAAACTCAAGTTCAAATGTCCCATAAATCTGAGATGGGCCAAGGCTAAATTTATCGAGCCCTTTTATCGCCAACTGTCTAATTAGCCACTCTCGCTTTTGGACAGACCCAAAAGGGGGGAAAGAGGCTGATAAGCGATAAGGGCGACAACATGTAAACAGGTTGAATAACTGGCCCAAAGAATAACAACAGCTGGCTTGGCCATAAAGATGATGTTACTTTGTGTTTTCTATTATTTTTTTTTTGGTTTTTGTGCAGGTTTTCACAGCGTGGGTGTTCGTTCACACACCAAAAATGGAATGCATCCCACGCAATGTGCCAAAAATAACAATAAACAATAGATAAAGTAACCAAGAGTAGTGTTATTTTTGGCCAAAAATTTCGGGTGCCATCAGAGGTATACATAATTTAATTGGCAAATGGGATGTCATATCTCGTTTGCAATCAAAAATAGTTTCTGAAAATCCCCACAGCAAACCCAATTTGTTTGCCATTCTAATTCAAAGTTTTTGTTATGCGTATAATTCATGGTGTACACACTGTTTCTATTTCTGACACCAAATATATTCGTAAAATCGACGGCAAATAAACTTTTCAGCAAGTTATTTAAATGCAGAAACTTTTACTGAGAATTTTCGGGGGGCTGCAATTTGGCTGCTCGAAGGATGCCAGCAGCAGCCAGGAGCTGCTTGTGCAGCTGCTTGAATGCATAAGCTTCAATCTCTGACGCTAATCGATGGGAAAGATTGACAGGAGAGTGACTTATGAATAATGAGTGAGTGAATAACACGCTAAAGGGAGTGCGTCACTCGAAACTTGTCCAAAACAACCTTTTGTCCTTGTTTACAAATAACAAGAGTCTGAGCCATATTATGCTTTGGTTTTAATTTGGGTTTCATATATAGAATGTCTATTGACTTTTATGGTTTTATTATTCACATTATTGCTTGGCTTTTCTGCAATCTAGATATTGAGTCATGAATAGTCCATAAATATATTATATTACGTGATACATTTCGTTTATGATTTGGAATAAAAAAAAGGAAACACCTTTGATGTTATGATAGAAGAACTTTGACTATTAGTTTGCTGAAGTTTTTTAGCTTAAACAAAACTAGATAGAAGCTAAATTTAAGAAGCCGGAGTATGTTTACCCTTGCTGGATCGTATACCCCTAAAGAAACCTAAAATATCTGAAGTCTAGTCATATTAAATTATACCTCCAAAGAAACCTAAAATATCTGAAGTCTAGTCTTATTAAAACAATATTTTTATATGTTAATTTTTTTGGCAAAATCAAAGTTTTTAAAATCCCATTACTAAGCCAAAAATCCTTTAATTGAAATTCAAAAACCGTTGCAATGCTAGTTTTTACAAGTTTAACAAATCTACATATTAAATTTTAAAATTTAAAAAATTTGATTTTATGTCAAATTAAAGTTAATGCTGATCAATAATATATATGATTTATAGGGTCGGAAATGATTCCTTTACTGCGTTTCAAGCTTCTGACTAAAATTTAAATCCATTCTTTGAGCTGATATTTATATATATTTTTATATAAACATTTTTTCGCAAAGGCATTAAATTTTCATTTATTCTTCAATTCAAAAAATAATAATAATATAATAACAATGAAATATTTTAAATAATTTGAGGACCATAAGAAAGTACTTAAAACTAATTATCAAAAGCCTGTGCCGGCACTGCATTAAATATGAGAGTAGAAGCTTGTTGAAAACTTCCAAGAAGACATTTTCGAGTGGTACTTAGGGCAAACATTGCAAAAGTCATGTACATTTGTCGCCCAATTGTATTTACATCTGCTGATTGTGTGTGTGTGAGAACAAAGTGGTGCAATCAAAGGTGTCTCCACCTGGTCTCTTATGCAAACCCCTCAGGTGTGTTTTTGGGCCTGAGCCCACATGAAAGGAGTAAGCATCGTCGAACGTGCCAGGCATTAGAAGTGCGACACCCAGACTCCTCTAAGCAATTTCGAGAGCGAGAAGTCGTCGCACTTATGCGGCTGAGGAGGTGCTGCTCCTGCTCCTGCTCCTGCTCCTGCCCCTGCTGTGCTCACCTGACACCGCCAGGTGCTCGGTCTAATGAGAGAGCGGGCGGACTTCTGCTTGGCGCTGATTGCCGAAAATGGCATTTGCAGCATCTTGCCATTCTGCCATTCTGCCACTCTGTGTATTGCTGCGATTGTTGGCGGTGGCGGCGTTTATTGATTTTATTGAGGCAGAAGGGAATCGAGACAAATTATTTTACACTCGAGCGATTTGTGATATGTCTGCGACCTGCCCGCCAGCAGCCTAACCGTCTTAACGCCTACCCATGATTGACAGCATTTCCAGAAATCCACAATGAAAACAAATCCAGACACTGATAATAATTTTAAGAAAATTAAAAACAACTTAAGAAAATAGTTTTGGAAAAAAATGATAATGTCCTTTACAAGTAAGTTAGTTTTATACTTGAAGAAGTTTAGACTGAATTTATAAATTTATTGAAACTTTTATTAAACGTTCCCCAACATTTAAGAACTCTTAAACGATTGTCACATAAATCGCCTGGTTAAAGTATTGTTTTATGTTTTTATTGAATAAAATATCAATACTGTATGAATATATTAATATTTTTATACCTAGTGTATATTAATTAAGATTTAAAATAGTGGTTTAAATATCTTAAATACTTTATAGATTCATAGAATAAGTTAATGGTTTATTCTTGATCTTCTTTTAAGTACGATTTTGATTTAAGTTTATTTAAATTTCCGTTTTTTTCTCTGCATCCCCTAAAAGACGCACTGAGTAGTCTTTAAGTTGGCGCCTTCTGATTTCCAACTTGGTTCGTTTTTGTGAAATTAAAATGCGTGTTTTGTCCCGCGCCCCTCGAGGGGCACTCCTATAATTACAGGTGGCGGCGGGCGCTGCCCGGTGGCCCACGTGTGGCGGCTGATTGAAATCGACGTTGTAGGTGTCAATCTCTTTTACTCTCTCTCTCTTTCTCGCTGTCTTACTCACCTGTTCCTCCTACCTCTGTGAGTTGGCCAAAAAGAGATTTTGGGCCGCCTGTTGACTTGTCTGCCGCTGACTTGTTTACTCATCTGGCCTTGTGCCCACTTTGATTTCCCTTTGCGAATTTTCAATTCAACGCTGCCAGTTCTGTTTGCACTGGAAGTATAATTGCTTTTCATTGGCTTCTCTGTGACTTTAGTGACTACTGTGACTTTTTGGACACTTCCTGGCCGCAGCACTCGCTGCATAATTCAGCTTTTAATTAAATATACGCGCGCGTGACTCTAATTGTTTGCCCATACAAGCGACAGATTTCCCGGCGGCAGCCGGTTCGATGACCAGAGAAAGCCCAGGCCCGCTGACAGCAGCTCGCTCTCCAGCAGTATTTTGATTAATTAACGAGCAGTGCCGGCCCCTGGGGGCCACAGGCATCGAAGCAGCCAACCTCCAGGCGACGTGACACGCGCTTTTCAAGAAGTCCTCGTAGTCGCAGCCACAGGACACTCGCTGTGGAGAGAAGCTGCTTACTTGACTGTTTTTTATTTTTATGAATATAAACTCTGAAAAGTCAGGTCCCTTTTTATGGGGAAGCACTTGAAACTGGGGAAACCATTGAAACTTTTAGAATTCCTAATTGATGGGGAATCATTACAAGCTTATTTTAGACTGGAGAGGTTTTTTAATGAATTATTATTATATTTGTTAAATTGTTTTTGGTTTGTAATTAAATGTAAAAAGTAATAATATATTGTTTTTCAACTCAAACTGAGCATCACTGCCACAGGGATTTGGAGCCTGTGGTTGTGGCATTTTCTATTTTCTGCATTTGCGTCCAATTAAGTCAAGTTCAAAATTCTGCTTAATACAGAAACGCGTTGCTTTCACATCAGTTAGCAGTGTATGCGTGCTGCATAATTTATCCTCTCTTGACGTATTACTAGGGAAAACAGTTGCCTTCAAAATATTAGGACCTAAAATTCACACTAAGAAATGTGCATTATCAAGAAAGCTGTCTTAATACTTTTGCCATATTTTCTTTTATTATTTGGAGCAATAAATTAAACATTCTGAGAAGTTTCTAAAGAACAATAATACAAGGGGACTTATCTTCTTATTAACGAAAACTTGTAGAAGATATCTTTGGGATTTAATTTATGTAAACACAGCTTAGCTAATAATTTAATAAATATAATATAACATCAAAAATTAACTAAATTGAGTGCTATTATTTATCCCATAACTATATTTGCCGGATAGAAAGAGGGAGAGAGAGTGACAGACACCGCTGGGCTGCGGTTAAGCGTTCGTGGCATTTGGCTTTCACTTTCATTAGCCAACTAGGAGCAGGGCCATCAGCAGATAGCCAACTAAGTGATTTGGCTGTTGAATATTTTAGAATATTGAATGCGTTGAGGTTAGTCCTTTGTTTTGCCAACTGAAGGATTTCCACCTCTGTGCCGGAGGTCTGACCGAAATGGAAATTTATTATTACACTCACAACTCATTCGCCAGAAAGAAACACTTACTTGCAATGCGCGACGCCTTCTGAATACGCATAAATAATAATAATTTCCCGGCAGAATTCCGGGGTGCTTCCACCATTTTCCCTCCACAGCCCGACGGCTAATTAACAGGCACTCCATCCACTATGGCGATTACTTTTCCGCCAGCATCAGCTGGTTTTTCTCGGGGGCAGGAGCTGAAGGCAGTATAATTTATTTATAATTGACTTAATAGACTTAACCCCAACCCTTAGCTTCGGACCCCGGCATTTATTTCATTCGAATTAATTATTTTTCAGCAATTTATGACTGTGTTTTTATTCGCACCTTTCGCTGGACGCCCACACTGAACACAATTTGAATAACATTTTAAAGAAGATAATGATTGGCTTTAAAATAAAGTACAATATCTGTTAAATTTACCCTTTTAAAGATTTTCAATTAACAAAGACATGGGGGAGGAAGAATCTACTTAGCCAGACACTCCCAAACACTATGCAAATATCACTTTTCATGGCCCTGTCACTTTGGTTTGACTGCCAAAAATCAATCAAACGCCTAAGAGTGTGTTCACATATTCGGAAAACTTGACAGACAGACGACACAGATAGACACGGGGTTAAAAGTGTTTATAAATTATTGTATAAACTCATAATAAATGGTATTGTTCTTGCTTAAATATAGGAGAGAAGACAACAAATGACACCGCAGCCCCTCCACGCGTCTGAGAGCTCAGCTGCCCACGCAAGGTGTCAAGGCAACGCGTCGTATACGCAATTCTGTTAACTTTTCCTTTTGTCTGATTGCTAGGCGAAAGGAAACTCATGTCTAAGGCTGCGGATTTAACTCGGGCTCACCTCCAGCACGTGGCCTTCAGTCAGTCGTCCCTGTCCCTGTCCCTGTCCCTGTCCCTGCCCCTGAGTTCCATTCATAATGTCTGGCTGGCCGATAAGAAGTCAAACTTTAAACATATCATGGACCGGGCCGAGGAAGACTTAATCTCGTGTGGCAAATGTCTTGACGCAATTTCGCCCCCCGCATTTACATACATTTGTCTAACTTTCCCCGGGAAAAAGGTTGATGCCTTAGAATGGGGCAGCAGCTGACATTCCCTCACTGACGTCTGGCGGCGGCGTCTTCATTGTTTCGCAAACTGTTTTACAGGTGCTACAAATTTGAATATAAATACACAAGCAGCCAGCGAGCATGCTGTGTGCAATAATAAAATAAAATGCTATTCAATGGCGCCGCTGCCAAACGTTGCACGGTGGCTTTCCTTACTTTGTGAAACTATAAAGTTGACAAAATGAATAGAAATTACTAAAGCCAAGGTTTGAGTAGCTAAAACAATTATCAAATTCCTTTTGTTCAATACAATATTATGGATTTAGTGTTGGTAAAATTGTAATTAAAACATAGTGTGAAATAATATGGTTTTAAGATACATTAAAGTAATATTTATGTGACAAAATATAAGAATCCGTTTTTAAAGATTTGCTGACACAAAAATTACTTTAAATATTTATTTATTTATTTATATAAAGCTAGCAGTTGGTTGTAAACTAAATATAAATATAGTTAACTAGAAAAGTAGCCCTCAGTTTCTCTATTTTGTTTATATATTGTCTGGTGAAATAATAAGAAATTCAATCTAAGCAACTCCCTTACTTTACAGTAAATCAAGAATCAGTCACGTAACCTCTAAAAGACCCGAAAATCGTTGAATTTATACCATGGTATGCTCCACTGTACCATAACAGCCACGTTTGCCAAAGACGAGTCGGCATTTTTGGCCAAACGGAGACCATTCCGAAGGGGCCACAAAAGTTGTAGACACACACACTCCTGGGTACCCTGAAGCCACCTGCCACTTTGGCCACACCTCCTCCATGGCGGGGCCTGCAACTTTTCAATTTGCTCGCCCCGTCTATTTACAATTTAAGAAAACAAAACGAAACACGACGGCTGAGAAGAAGCACTGCGAGACAACCAAAAGAGCCTGGATATCCAGTTAGCCGAATTTGCGTGTGTATTTTCAGTATTTCGGGGGCGACTATGTCTGTCATTTAGATTTAAATTTAGTGGCCACTTAAGAGTCGGATGGGGGCGCGACTTAAGTGGATTTTTAGAGACGCCCCGAAAATGGTTTGTCGAATTGTCAATTAGTCTGCTTCTAGATCGTAATAAAGGTATCGAATGTGAACCAAATGCGGGCGTAATGAAAATGAATCTGTCTAGTATATTATTACCAAGTTTCCATGGCTCAATCTCAAGTTATATCCTTTGTGCAGGCGTTACGCTCCATAAAATTGAAATGAAATACTAAACTTTGCTCGTTATGACGCTGATTGCCATGAACTGCAATTGCATACGGCAGGGAATCGTGCCGCGTGCATTGTCCAGGCCATAAACATAACGAGGAAAGACAGAAAAGGCACGCGAGGAGCTCTTGCTTGGACCTTGCTCCGCTGGACACTGGATGGAGTAACCCAATAAAGTTAGTGCCATGCCTTGCCATATTTTCCGCTGTGAAATCAATTTTTCATTTTGAGGCAGCATGACGACGCCATTTGCCCCCACACCCAGGGCAATATGTGCTCCACAATTGTCACAGAGAGGAGCACATTAAAAGTGACTCCGGGGCAGACAGCGTAATGGTTTATATAATGTCCTCGTCCTTCCCCAAAACTGAACAACAACGTAACATAAATATGCAGCAAGTGGCTCGGCAAGAACAAAAGCCAGATGCTTTTGACTTTTATGACTCATACGCAACGTTGCACAAAGTTCGCAGAAAAAGAAATGCAGCAAACAAAGGCCAGAGTCCTGTGCCAAATTTTTTCAGCTGAGATTTGCTAGACACAGATAACACTTCAGCAGAAGGATCAAAATCTGCATCTGAACATTTTGGCTGGGACTTTAAGGGATTAAGAAAGGAGAATATACTTTTTCCTAAATTTTTAACTCATATTAAAGCTTTTTGAATTTCTTTAAAATATATATTAATCTTTTCATATATCAAAGAAATTTAAAAACTATATTTGAACACTTGAAAATATATTTTAAATATTTATTAACGACACCTAAACCTTTAGAAATATAGTATCTTTATTTTAGTAAGATTTGTAACCATTTTCTAATGTTATTGTATACCTTAATAAATCCTCAGAACTGCTCACTTTTCAGACTCTACTTTGTTGCCTTAAGGACACACCTTTCATTGTTGATCAACTCGTTGTTGCTGTTATATCGCAATCCTCTTGAACGCTTCTGTGATTTTCACAATCAAATTCAATGCTGCTCGACGGCTTTGGCGCCAATTCTGTAGAAAAGATGCCAATGGCAGTATCTTAAGTCAATTCAGTGCCAAGAAAAGTGTTGGCTCAACTGACAGCTTACTCAAAATATGTCAATCAAATTCAGCTTCTTTTTCACTTCTCCCTGTCACCACCCAACCCTCTTCTGTCAAGGCCAAAAAGTCGGGTTTTGAGGCCAATGAGAGGTGTGAGGTGAGGTGTATTCTTAGGCTAGACTCCTTTTTTGGCTATTTTACATGCAAATTAAATGCGCATTATCAGCGGCCTAAAACTTTAATACCAAGACGAACTTATGCAAAGCTCAAATGGGTTGATTCGCCGGCCAAAAATACTTCAAAGCTCTTTGAGCCATTTACATATGTAAATATTGGGAATAAGGAACCGGGCTTACGGGTTTCTTCATGGGCATTCGACAAGTTGCCAGGGTGTCTGTCATAATTCTTTAATTTTTTCAATTACTTGTTCTGTTGATTCACTGAGGCAGTAGGGAGAGATTAATTACAATAAATTATTATTTATTACAACAGATTAATTACCATAAAATATGGCCATGAAATGGTTTCAATTTAAGATAGTCTAAGGAAGACATTACTTCCCAGTTAAATCTGAACCTTTAAAATGTAGGTGTCTTCATTTTAATCAATAATAAAAAAAAGTAATACAACAAAATGATATCTAAATAATACAAATTAAATTTCTAACAAATTACCAACAGTTCTAGAGTTACTTCATAGATGCAAACATTTTATGAAATTTTACAACAACCTCTTTGGGGAAAGGCGGGGGCTAATGATAAATTTTGCAAAAGCCAAAGCGGCGACATGTGGTGCTCATCTTCCCATCTCCTCCCACCTTAAAATTAACGCAAAATAAAAAGGGAAACTATCCCGCTGAGGAGCAGCTGTGCCCTCGACCAAATTGAATATGTCAGAAATGAAGGCGGAGGAGGAGACGGAGGCGACCCAGACGGATGCGTGCGTCTGTGTTTTTAATATAAATCATTGGCAAAATAGTTGCGTGCTCGCATTAGTGGCCAAAATACCTGGCTGCAGCGAACAAAAGTTTCCTTCTTTATTTTTTTTGGTTGGCATTTTAAAGGAAAATTTATTTGCTCATTTCGGGCACGTCGTTCGAGTGGGCCTCCCGCAAAAAGTTGCGGCTAATCAATTTAAAGTTGCAACCACAGAGCAACGAACAGGGACGGTATAGATGTAGAGGGGTATACTTATATGTAACATGCCCCAGACATGGGGCACATATGCATGCATAAATTTTCCAAGGGGGCCATGGCAAAGTTCACCAGCTTGGAGCTCCTTTGTTTGCCAAACGCACGACGTGACGGTGCTATCTGGGGTTCTAAATGTCTATTGTTGGTTGCTAATTGTTGGAATTCCTGTCCGGAGGGGTCAAGTCATGTGCGTGGCAGTTTAATTCTATTAAGAACACGTTTTTGGGGTATTACTTGACACGCGTTTAGTGTCATAAATTATTCCAAATCACTGAGCAGCTCTACGATTGCACTGAGGAAATACAATTCAGGGAAAAATGTTTTTAATTAAGTAATTAAATGAAAATTAAAGTTGCAAATCTACTTGCTTGAAAAATGTATTTAAAGGTATATAATCTTGATTTATAATTTTAAAATCATTGTAAAAAAAATATACAGAGTGAAAACTGGATTCACATAGTTAAAAAATGGTTAAAAAAGAGATTCATATTTTTTCCTGATTTCAATATGAAGTATACGCTTACCATTTTTCCCTAGTGTAGTTCCTTGTGACAATACAAGTTAGGATAATTGCTATCAGTATCATTCCGGTATTCGCTTACGAGCGATAACAAATTCCGAAAGGAATCAAGTTCCAAGCTTCTCCATTAAGCAACTCAACTCGCAGCACATCAACCCTCAGAAAAACGGGCGGCGCACGCGGCGTATGCGCGATATTAATAACAGGCCAACAATCCTGCACCTGCTGGGTCCCGAAATTTACACACAAAAGCCATGTTAACTGAAGCAAATATTTCTGCATTTGGTGGCGGCTGGCTGGTAAAGTACTTAAAGCATTTATTACGCAGCTTTTCATTTGGGATTTATGTGTTTTTAAGCATTCGGTAAGTCTCCCATACCCCGGCTCAGGTCATAACCTACATATATCTCGAGATATATATTTTAAATACTCTTTTGTAATTTTCTCTTTCCACTTTCCACGTTAATTTTCGCTGTTTATTTGCTCATTACAGGCATAATGGCAGACTGAGACGGTGCGCTATCATCAAGCATGTTGCATTTAAGGCTATTCGATAGCTCCCTTTACTACGCCCTGACCTCCGCCTCGGAGGCCACCGCCTCATCCTCGGGAGCGGCGGCGTCGGCGGCCACGGAGCGAGCGTTCAATGCCAGCGGCAGCGGATTGGACGTGGGCGTGGCAATGGCGCCCACATTGGGAGCAGTTAATCTGACATATTTCACACCTGCGATATCACACGTGATGCTGGCGCCAGCAACGGCAACGGCAGCAACAACAACAACCACAACGCCATCAGCGGCGGCCACAATGGTCCAGACGACAGCGGCGCCAAGTCACGACTTAGAAGCAGCCGGCGGCGGCGTCGGCAACTCCTCATCCAGCCATCCGGGCGAATTGGACAATTTAAATTCGTTCTACTTTTACGAGGTGGGTGTGAGAATGAGCTATGATTTTCCCCATAATATTCCCCATTTAAACTTAGTTTTTTATTGAAAATTGAAGTCACAGATGGGATTCGGTTAATACTTTTCGTATTTGAGTCACTCGATTGAATGGGTTGGATTAAAGGGAATAAAAAGTGTTTTCTTAAACTATGTCTGACACCTAAGAATATATTTTCAATTCAATCTATATCCAATGGGTATTATCCATAATGACTGTAGGATTAGTACTCTTGCAGGGTATTATAATTTCAGTCAGAAGAAATCTTAGAAATCTTTGAAGGAATCATTTCCGACCCTAGAAATCATATATTATATATTAGCAACAAAACTTAAATCAATCTAGCCATGTCCTGTCGAAAACTAAAATTTCGAAATTTTTTCAATTTTTTCAAAAAGGGTTCAATAAGGGGTTACATTGTTTAAATTTTAAAAAATTGAAAAAAATGTTTTTTTTTTTTAAATTTTAAATTGAGTATGCAGATTTATCAAGCTAACAAAGACTAACATTGGAAAGCTTTCCGAATTGAAATTAATGAATTTTTTGATTAGTTATGAGTATTTAAAATTTTGATATTTCAAAAAAATTGTCTATGAACCGATCAATAAATGTCGATTCAATTATTGCAAGATTTTTAGCTTAGTTATGATTGATTTCCGATTCTATCCTATAATTCAATTGCAAACTGCAAGGGTATGTAAACTCATACTTTCCAAAGTTAGTTTCCGTTCTTGTTTAACTTAATTTTACAATTTTGTTTCGAATTGGAATGCAACAAAGTTTATTTATATTTATGATGCCCACAAATTACTTTTTGCGGCTCACAATTGCTATGGACAACAATGTCAAATTTGAGACAAAAATAATTTATTTATTGAAATTTGAGAAGCAGCTGTCCATATTGATTTCTATTTTATGCATAGAATTTGAACAACGTTATAAGCAATAGAATTGGCCAGAAAAATTGGGGTTTCAAGAATAATTTATTTACACTGCAAACAGGATTTTTTGGGAGAAGAGAAGTTAACCATATTTATAGCAAGTCAAAATCTTTAAAAGCATAGTTTTAGACTCTCTTAGTAATGCTTAGTTCCTTTCTTTAAAAAAATACCACTTTAAATAACTTACTAATTCAGAAATATAATTTATTTTTGCTTCTTCGTTGAACTTAATAACAATACCGTATGTCAGAAACACATTTGTATAAGTGCACTTTTTGCCAAGTCAACAACGTCTCCTTATAAGTCCCTCGTTTTCGCGACAAACTGCAGGGAGGAAGAATTTTTTTTTTTGGTAGCTCCTCCTTGCCAAAATCAAACAATGGCAATCCCGAGGAGAAGGGGTCGCAGAGTAGCAGCTGCCTGGCTTGTTGCTTGATGTAACAAATTTCAATTTGGTGCAATTTCGCCTTTTCTGAATGGAAAAACAGCAATCTGAGCAAACTGGGCAAACTTAATTTGAAGCTGGCAAGCCAGCAGAGTAGCAGCGACAAACAATAAAACGCCAAATGTCATTTGGCAGCTGGAAATTAAGAAAATTCAAGACGGACAGAGTGACGAGAAAGTTTCTCTCTGAGATTTGCATATCGGAAAAGACCACACACAGACCTTATCAATGAGGGGCAATCAATCAGAGGTCCCGCCAGATCGTGACAACAACTTCGATTAAACTAAACTTCCGTTCGTTGCTCCTCCATCGGTTGCCATAAAAAAAAAAGACTGTCATGAATGTAATGAAATTTCCATACGCCCTCATCGTATAAATCACACCATTGTTGTAACGGAAGTAGCCCTCGACCGAGCCAATTTCCAGGCAGCAGCAGGAGCATCCAGCATCCAGCATCCAGCAGCCGGCCCGAATCCATGTGAGCCAAGTTTAAGCGGCCCCAATCACTCAAAGTGCGTGCGTGCGTATGTGGGCGCCATAAATTCGGGTTTATTTAAATGAGTCAGTCCCTTCCAGGACCACAGAAAGCGACACAGGCTGGGCCTTTCCCAGTGCCAGCACCATATGGCACTTTGGTTGACAAAGAGCAATGTCAAGGGTTCCGTCACTTCCCCATCATCTCTCTGTGTATAAGAAACTAAAGTGACAATAATCTCATGGCCTTCCAGGGACTCGACTAAGTCTTATTGATTTGATGTTTTTATAGTTCGTTCGTGTAATAACAAATAATATATTCCTTGATTCCATTCTTTACTATGATAAAGTTAATGAAATTAACATATTTGTTTAGTATATAAGAGAGGAAACAATAGCAATAGTATTAACAAATCAATATTAATAGCTTTGTTACCGTTTACTATAATACTAGTTATAATACTTCTCATAGATATGTGCAATTTTAGGGGTTATAAAATCTTATCTTAAAAAATATAAATATAATGTCATTTCCCAGAACAATCTATATATATGCATATATAAACAATAAAAAAAGGGTTTATTCTCAAATTCAATCCGAATCTCACATACGTTGAATTTATAAAAGGACGCCAAATAATATTTATTTTTAGACACTGCCAACACTAAATTATTCTAGTTTAACCCCCGTTAAAAAGCCTTTGACAAATGGCGACAAATGAAAAATAAATAAAAAATTTTGTACATAGGTCTGATGGACTTCAAAACGAAAGTTACTTTAGATAATCTGTCACACAGAGAGCGACAAAAAATATATAAAATAACAAGATGAAAGCCGTGGCAAAATGTTGGTATGAAAAGGTCACCGAACCGGCAATATTTTCTTTAATGCCCTGTGTGCCCCGTATGTGTATATGGGGTTATGGCTGCCCTCAGAATCCCTGGAAAAGGGGTCTCACATGATTTGCAATTTAAATGGCTTAGTTGAGGATTTTCCCTGACCAGCGGTCATCTTTTTCCTCGCCTTGTGATTGCTTTTTCCATGGCCGAAAATCCCCTGTTAACACCCGTTTTACACAAGTAAATCATTGTGTTTAAGATGATGACTAAATTCAGTTGTAAGTACTCACATTCCCGTTTGATGTCACACCTTAAAGTTTAGGGGGAAAGGTTTCTAGGGTTCAGACATTAAGTTCCCTCCCAATTACAACTGCACGGGGAACTGGCCTGGCCAGAGTCAAAGTGCTGACCATGGCCAACTCTGCATTGCTGTTCAATAAACGCACCGTGAAAAGGGGATCCGACGGCATTAGAGAACGTATAAAAACAGAAACCAAACAAAACGAATATTGGGCCACGTATGGACGCATACACATAACGAAATTCAAGATAGATTCATATTATTACGGTAAATATATGATTTGTATATTAACTTCTACAATGGGATGAGAAATCGATCATAACTAAGCCAAAAATGCATTAATTTCAGTTTGGAAAGCTTTACTGTGCTAGTTTTTATTAGGTTTATAAATCTGCTTACTCAATTTAACATTTTAAAAAATTCAGGTTTATAAATCTGCTTACTCAATTTAACATTTTAAAAAATTCAAATTTGTATCAATTTTTCAACACTTTAACCCCTTATAAAATTTTGAAAAAATTTAGCAAATTTTTTTTTCTTTCAAACATGACCAAAAAGATTCGCCTGTTGATGCTGATCAGAAATATGTATGATCTATAGGGTCGGAAGTGATTCCTTTACTTCTGAATGAAATTATAATGAAATGGTCTTCATACCTGGTTTACAGCATAGATTGTTTAAGTAATTACATTTTATTTACTTAAAGTCTATGCTAGTTTTATTTTCAGTGCTAAATAGCTCTCAGTTAGGAAATGGAAAGCATTGCGCCATTTGATATTTGTTTGTTTGTTAGCCGGAGGAAACGAAAGCATATTATGCAGCGTCACAATGTTTGTCCATTGATGGAAAACTCGAATGCGTGGGAAGGAAATATTCAAGCCGTGGGTGGTATATGATGGTGTGTCAGCAAATCCTTGACTGAAGCGCACACATTGCGTCCTGCTTATTACTCCATAATTACATATGCTCTAATGAGACTCTTTTTCTCCCAGGGCCACGACCCTCACTTTCGCTAGTGATTCATCTAATTTTAGCCAGGACCTCATGTGGTCGCATATATTAATATTACACATTTTAGCTACAGCACAATGGTGACCCTGGTGAGCTGGCTAATGTGACCATCAAAGGCCAAAATTAATTAGCATTTTCTAGGGGCCAGTGCAAATATTTGAAAGAAAAACAAAAATTATAATAATAACCAGGATGTTTGCATGTTGATAAAAGTCAAACAGCTGCCAATATAATAACAGTTAACGGCTAAATTGGCCTTCAAAGGAAAAATGGGCCAGCTTAAAGTGATTAGTTGATGGCATTATATTGAATTCAATTTGAAAAGCTGCAGGAAATAAATAAATCTAATTTGCAGACCATCATTTTGTGTAGTTGAATATCGAGGGAATTTAATTTAAGGTGAATGGTAAATAATTAATGTGGCTCGACTCTTACGATATGAATTTGATGTGTATTTGAAAAGCTTTACAATTTGTCTGTTATGATTAATGGTGTAATTTTGTTATTTTCTATATATATATAAATCACAAATAATATTATTTCCCCAGTGCACATTTTAAGCATTGAAAATCCTCACTTATAAGCCCTTGTTTTGCTGGCAATATTTTTCGCACCCACCGCAAGTTTCCTTTGCCTTTGCAAATATTATTCTCCGAAGGCGCGTCAATTCCAAGAACTCATTAATCTAGCGCAAAAATTTGTCTTAAGCTTATTTGCCAAGGAAAATTAAGCATGTGCAGGCAGCAGAACGGCGAGACTTGACGCATGTAAAATATATATGGGACATGTGTCCTTGTCTGGGTCTCGGCTCAGACCAGGTTCTGATTCTGGAAGGTTAAACACTTAGTGGCCACAAAGCGGCATCATTAACCGAGCTGTTGAGCCTGGCTGGGAGGTAAAAACCACACTTCTCCATTTTCCACATTTTTTCCACACTTTCTCTGCTTGTTTTTTTAGCAATTTAATTTGCCTTGAGACGGGGTGCAATGGGCAGTAGGGAAAATTACAACACTAAGCGGCTTGTGCGAGCAAATTCGCCCAAGGACTGGAGACAGTGGGGCGACTGAGCTCAGCTGAGCTGCTTGTTTATTGTGCCAGGCCTCGAGTATTTGCCCAGCACTCGAGGCGGTAAATAAACATATGTGGGAACGGCTTCGATGCTAAGTTTCTTCACTCAGAGGAAAAATGTCACACCATCTAAATTCGAACGAATTCAAAGTCACTGTTGCAGATAAAAATTATATACATGATCAAGAACAACAAGATCAAAGAGCTAGGTTAAGTTAAGATAGATTTATTAGATAACAAATACTGCAAAAAAAATTAAAACCGTAAACTAAAATCTTTATAAACAAGTCTGTAATTTGAATAAGTACAAGAAACCTACTTGTAGTTATATAGTAAGTCACCTTATGCTAATTTTCTCAACTCGATAAACATCAGTGCTCCTTATGCTTTAGGTGTAATCACACTTTTCGAGCTTTAACGCAAATTAAAGCATAATTCCAGTCGGTTGGCACGCGTGGTCGTAGGGCTTAATTACATTTGCCCATCGGCCAAGATGTTGACATAACAAAATGCCCACAAGGCCATCAAGTGCTTGAGTGGCCAACGAGCTTGGCCTCAAATGTGACCATGGGGACCAAAGCGGCGCGCACACTTGGCTAAAAATGAGTTAACAACATTATTTGCCCATTGGCCCAGTCACTGGTACAAATACTACTGACCACTGTGTTCCCGGCCAACATCAATTTTATTAAGGCCAGGCAAGCGAAGGCAAGGCAGCAACGTGGTCAGGATGGCCGCAGGTCCTTGATGACTTCTGCCAGCTCCTGTGCGCCGTTTGCGAATCCTTGGGCCAGGCAAGGACCATAAAATACGTTTTGACAAGAGTTTTATCTGGCACGTCGCTCTGTTAGTTGGATATGTCATAGCGATTTATAAGGATTTGTTGCCACCAGAAATATCTAGTGACTGGGTTGCAGTGAGAGAAAAATAATAGGAAAATTTATATACCCCATGTAGAAATATATATTTATATGTTTAATGTTAAAGTTCCTAAAGATATTTCCTATTGAAAAAGTTGTTTACGTTTCTTTAGGTTTGCTTATTTGCATCTAATATGCAATAATAATAAAATTTATCAAGTGAGCATATAATCCTCTTTCTTTCAGTGAAGCACTTTCGCTTCTGTTTGTTTTTCGATAAAATATGAGAATTATATATCATTTGGCATTGAATGTCAATGCACTTCCGCCACTTTAAGTCAAACCGTAATGAGGCCGCAGGACAGGTTTTTTGACTTTTCAGCTTGGCTGAATTCTGGCAGCTCATCAAGCAATTTCTCTCCTAGCAGATAAGTAAAGATTCTCAGGTTCAACTGTGGGTTCAATGGACTTTGCAAAAAGACTGTTCAAATTCCCCAAAGTGTCACTTGACCGGCCAAATCAATAAGCATCTTTCTCTCTCTTTACTGCCAACTAATTGTTATAATTTACCAGCTCGTCTGTCAGCTTGTCAGTAGCTGAGCTCTGTATAAACTTATGGGAAAACAAGAACAGCAAATGGAGAAGTGTTAATTTCACAAAATATTTTCAAGCAGCCAAACGATGGATGGGGTTGACTTAATGAGTGTTCAAGTTAATTGTTGGTTTATTTGTCACGCTTGAACTTTGAACTCGGCGCAACAATTAAAAGGGTAGACTTCTGGGAAAAAGTTTTTACGCCCCCCCCCCCACTCCGTGCTCCACGATAAGGGTTGATTTTTGAGTCGAATATTAAACAGCAAATCAATAAACCTTTGCCAAAAGTTGCCTTTTGGCAAGGCTTGCAAGAAACGTGAAGCATACACAAAGGCGCATTTTACATGTGAGAGCGGACTGGTAAACATTTTCCGGGAAAAATATGCCAAAGGGGAAACCCAGCAGCATAGATGGATGAAAAATAATGGAAAAGCCAAAACTGTTTGCCAAGACTTCTTTTTCGGCAAAAGAGAAGTTTTTATTACATGCCCTGCTTTTCGTGAACCATAAAAATCAAATAAAATTGTAAACTTCCTTTTAAAGGCCCCAAGAA